CCCCTGGTCTAGATAGACTTCTGGCTTCCATGGTATCACAGACAGCAAGACACCATCCCACCCATGGTGAACCCGATGTCTTGACTGCACCTGATTCTCCTCCAGTGTGAGATCTCTTCCTTGGCTCTGGCTCTCCTCTTCCATGCGCTCCTCAAACTCCTGCCGGGCTTTCTCCACAGACAGCATCTCTTTCTCCAGCTCATCCATGTCACCCTTGCGCTTCTTGTACTGTTTCTGGGCATTCTGCAGGGATTTCTTGGCCGCTTCCAGTTTTTTGATCTTGTGAGATGTATTTTCCTTGGCCTTGATGTACTGGGGACGTTTCTGGTTCAACTCAGAATCTTTTTCCCTGCCATGTGAAAAATAAATCCTCTTAAGATTTAAGAGTCACGCTCACTCCCAAATATGCTGTAGTATAAAACAAGAAAGAAGACTGTGAGGTTATCTAGATGTTGGCAGACTGCAGATTCCATTAAATTTCACCACTGGCTCTGTGGCTCAGGCTAATGAGAGTTATAGTTCAGCCACATGCAAAAGGCCATTCATTCCCCACCTCTGCTGCTTTTATAGACTGTTCATGATCTCCAAGGCCTTCCACTCTGGATCTTGAATTCACCTGCTCTGTAACACAGAGCTAACCTGTAATAGTGGTTTTCAAAAGGTTCCACATATTCACTCAACGCACCAAGCCACTCCCCTGTGATAATATCCCTGTGATAATATCTGTATTATATGCCTGTGATACCGCTGTGAATACTAGAACCTTGTGACAGAGAGGGGAAGCTGACCACATGGTCTTTCCCATCCAGTCAGCATACTACTGACACACAAAGATGGTCCCACCTACACTGCTGGCTGGTATTCACACACAAGCCACAGATGTCTAGCTTAGTGTCAAAGGAAGGCAGCTACCAAAAGGTTTGCTGCAGAGGAGTCTGGGAGAAGGGCTTAAGTTAAATGCCTGTACTGCAGCCACTCACTCATAGACCACAAGGTTGCGAGTTCAATACCAGCCAGGGCTGAGGCTCGACTCAGGCCTGCATCCTTCCAAGGTCGCTAAAATGAGTACCCAGATTGTTGGGGGGCAATCAGCTCACAGTTGTAAACCGCTTAGACATCCCATGCGCGATATGAAGCGGTATATAAATGAAGCTGCTTTTGCTTTAAAAGCATGTATTATATTCAACATGAGCAAGTACCACCATAAAACAAACTATTCCTTCTTCTCTCACACATACCTTTTCACCAGACTTCCAATGTGTGTGAGATTTGACCTGTGACATGATTCACTTTAAGTTGTTTGTTCTGCATAAAATTCAGCCGTTTGTGTTTTAAGTTTCCATCATGGACAGCATCAAGCATAGGTTGCCCTAAGGCTGCCCTTAATTAAAAGGCCCTATGTTTAAGAAAATGGGCCAGTTAATATTCAACCATTAAAATGTTGCCAGGGGCATGTCTATTGTTAATACTCATAATCTGTACATTAAGTCAAATCCTGTACATGCAAGTCACCCAAAATGATGGTGACTGGCTATGCCACTAAGATTGGTTCTATGTAGGTAGAAGCAAGAGCTCCAGCTTTTCCCACAAATGTGATATCTGGTTCTACTGCCACACCATATCAGATTACCAAACGCCTTACTTGATCTCCTTCTCAATTTGCTGCTGCTCCCTCATCACTTTGCCCAGTTCCTTCTTCTTGTCCTTGAGCTCATCCTCCACCTTGTCCATGCGCTTCTTGTCCTTATCAATCTCCTTGTTCTTGGAACCCAGCTCCTTGTTCAGTTTTTCAATTTCAGTTTCATTGTGGTACAGCTTAAAGAGCTGCAACTGTACTTGGGCTCGCACAACCTCGTCCTTCAGACGCTGGTACCGATCCGCCTGGCCCCCAAGGAAAGAAAAGGAGAAAGTGGTGTTAAGGGCCTCAAAACTAAAGAGTTCCTTATTCCAAGAACTGTGTGCAAGCCCAAATCAGAGAGCCAAACATCTATAAGTAGCATTCCCTTATGTCTATCCCAACCTTTCTTTGGTTGCAGAATGCAGGGGGCCATACATCCTGCATGCGATGTGACCCAGCACATCAATATTTTTTCAAGTTCATGACCCCTAAACAACATTCCATCAATTTTGGTGGCTTTCAAAAAGCACAAAATGCACACAGCTAATCAGCAAGAACCTAAATGGGGAAAGCTATTTCCAGACTTCGCAATTCCTGCAAGTTTGCAGTTGGAAGAGGAAAGGTGAAGCTCAGTGTCAACCAAAATAGACACTACTGGACAAACTCAAGAAAAAATACCATGAACCAATACTGTAAGAAGCCACACAGAGTCCTATGTAAGCACTAAAAGAAACTCTTAATTGTCCTTTGACATTATGAAAGAATACTTATTCAGGGATGATTTGACCCAAAGAACAAGTTTACTGGCCTGAAAAGAGGATGGTAGCCCATTTCACCTTATTAGCAAGAGAGGAGAAGGCTTCCCACTCTTACTGGCCAGCATGGATATATAGATTACTGGGCCGGGGGGAGGGGGATTGTGTGTGCAACTTGCCGTTTGCAAATCTTATTCTATGCCTCCAAGTCATTTTTTACTTATGGCAACCCTAAGTCAAACCTATCATGGGGTTTTCTTGGCAGGTTTCTTCAGTTTGCCATTGCCATCCTCTGAGGCTGAGAAAGTGTAACTTGCCCAGGTTCACCCAGTGGGTTTTTAAGCTCAAGCAGGGAATCGAACCCTGGCCTGCAGAATCATAGTCTGATGTTCAAACTACTAAACCACACTGTAATTTTTGTGGGCTCACTGAAAAGGCTAATTTGATTTTTTTAAAATACATGTATCAGGAGATCAAAAAGAAAATGAATGAAGATGCTTTTACAAAAAATAGATGGTTAAAATTGGATGTAATCAGGTTAAGGAAGTGAATACAAAGCAGGGAAAGCTTCAGTGCTCCATATGTTGCTAGACTGTCTCACCTGCCACTCCTCACTTTTGACTATGCTGGCAAGGGCTGGCAGGAATTGCAGCCCACCATTTGTAAGGGCCACACCATAGCCACCCAAGTTACAGTCATTCTGGGTACAAAAATACATATGTTTCCTGAATCATCCCAGCCCCTTTGCATTAGCCAGTGAACAGGCAGAGATAAGCGACTGGGCAATGTGGCCTCCATCTCCTTGTCTGCCCCACTACAAAGCAATGCCTTCATCATTTTGTCCATTTATGATATAGGTCAACGAGAGGCACGGTCAAGTAAACAGAAAAGGGAGTACAGGTTTCAGGGAAGAAAAGTGAAGATTAACAAGAACAATGTTCCCAAAACAAATTTCACACCTCAACCTGAGCATGGGGAGATCCCAGAAGCTCAACATTGGTTTCTTGATGCTGTAAGCTGTGGAAGACATAGCCAAAGCAGCAATAAGAGCAATAGGCTAGCTGAGAGGCAGCTTCTACCAAACAGAGCACTCCATGAACAAACAAACATTGCCCCTTTTAGCCTATGATTGAGGAGATGAAATTGGGAACCTAGAGGCCATCATAGCCAATGGCAGTTTTCTGTTTTTACCTCTTCTTTCTCTTGTTTGGCCTCTTTTCGCTCAGCTGCAATGTTCTTCTTACGATGGTAATTGAACTGAGTGTCCTCCTCAGCCTTCACCATCTCCTTCTTCCGCTTGTCATACTCCTGAGCCAGCTCCCCCGAGCGACTGATTTCCTCAAAGAGTGCTGTGCGCTCCTTGGGATTCTTCATAGCAATCGATTCCACTGCACCCTGAGACAGTGACAAATGATTGCATCAGACCAATGTTAAGGTACAATCCTTCAGGACTAGCCCAAGACATTTTGCTCCTTGAGCAAATGGCAGCCCACCTCCTGCCCACTCAATCAGCTCAGGTTGTGCATTACCCAAACCCAGCCAAATTATTTTGGAACATGAGAAAGAAAATCCAACAAGGACTTCTCCTGCTCCCAGGCATTAGCAATATAAAAATAATTACATGAGTTATGATCAATTTGCTGCCCTTTCATGACACCCAAAAACTCCTGCCTGATCAGTTTGGGAACCAGTGATCTACACTGCAGAAATAATGCAGTTTGACAACCACTTTAACTGCCATGGCTCCATCCTACAAAATTCTGGATTTGTAGTTTTATGAGGCAACAGAACCCATTGACTGAGAAGGCTAAAGAGCCTGTAAAACTATAAAGCCCAGGATTCCACAGGATGGAGCTATAACACTTAAAGTGGTGTCAAACTGCATTATTTCTACAGTGTAGATGCACCCTCAGAGCCCTAGGCTCAGCGGATGAGTCAACATGAGTCTGAATTCACATTTCAGTATTACAAGAGCAATAGTATCACATCTTTAGGCTCACTAACAGGCAAGAATGCATTTGTTAAAATGAAAGTTGGCAACAAGTGTGACAAATAAGTTTGTTTGGGCAGGAATGCTGTCCACACGCTCCACCCCCTTTGCAGAATAAGCCCACTGCAGAATCTACATCCATACAGCACAGTAACTTCAAAGGCTCATCAGAAGTGTTGTAACAAATATGGGAAATACGTAGCTCTCCAGATGCTGTTGGACTGCAGCTCCCAGCATGCCTCACACTGGCTAGTACTGACAGGAGGTGCAGTCTAACAACATCTGAATGGAATATTTCTAAACCTTTTATTACAAGAAGATCCATATGCTTGGGCTGTCTGTCCAAGTTCAGGCTAGGGAAGTGCCAAAACCTCTGATGACATGTTACCCTGCTCTGCTGCAGCTAAGGGACATGCATACTTCTGTGGAGACATAAACCTGAAAGACTCACTTACTTGGAAGACTAGGAAGTTCCTAGCTTTGATGAGAATGCCCAGTTTCTCCAGCTCCTCACTGTACTCACTCAATTGTACCACTTTGTTGTTTATTTTGTACTCTGATGAGCTTCCTAGAAGATAAATGTTTAGTTATCCTTAGTCAAACAAGAAACTCAAGAAGGGAATTACTATCTATTCTACAACCTCTCTAGTTTTTACTGTGCAGGTGGTCATAGGGAAAAGCACTTTGAGAGGAAAATTGTTATTGTCATTTCTGACTTAGATGACTAACAAGAGCCTATCTCGTTTTTCTTGGCAGAATTTGTTGGGGGGGGGGTTGCCTCTCTCGAGGCTGAGAAAATGTGACTTGCCTAAGGTCTATCTGGTGAGTTTCCATAGCTGAGCAGGGATTTGAACCCTGGTCTCCCAGTGTCCAAGTCTAACAGTCAAACAACTACACCACACTGACTCTCAGAAGAAAATTGGGGGGTGGGGGAGTGCAAAAGGAAATATGTTTTCTTCATTCAGAAGAAGTCAAAGACATAGCTGTATTAATCTGGAAAATCAGTATGCAAAAGGATCTCGCATCCTTTGAGACCTTTGAGACTAATTGAAAGATAGAAGTTGACAACAACTTCTTTCATAGGCTTGAGCCTACATCCTCAGAAGCATGTGGTGCAGTGGAAAGCCCAGGAACAGACCTATATAGCAGTCTGTGTGTGAGAATGTTCATAAGAATACAAAACTTTGTTGGTGTAGAGATGAAGTGACAAATTCAGTAGTTTTAATGATAGTCATTAAACAGAAGGATGGTCCCACACTCCCTATACCCATTCATATGGTTATCTACTAATTTTGGCTTTAGGAAACATCCTTGCCTTATCCCCCAATTACTATCAGTAAACAGAAATTGTCATCCCATTTCCACATCCACAAAGTTGTGTATTCCTATGGACATTCTCACACAGACTGCTATATAGGTCTGTTCCTGGGCTTTCCACTCTACCAAATGCATCTGAGAAACTAGATGAAGTCTATGAAAGTTCATACTACCAACTTCTATCTTTCAGTTAGTCTCAAAGGTTCTGCAAGGTCCCTGTGCATACTGATTCAGAAGAAGAGCACTTTAGGATTTACAGTCTGCCTGCCAGCTCTCTGTCTGATGTGTGGTTCTGATTTATGAATATAATAGTGTTATGACAGAGAACCAAAGCAAAAATGTCCTGCTAGCTATAAGAGAAAGATCATTTTTTCCTTTGGTTCTCTTTCTTAATCTGGCAGTGGTGTGAACCACTGTTAAAGTACAAGTCAGATTAAGAAAAGGGTCTTCAGATATGAGTGATTAAAACTGTAGCCATATGCATATTTGCAACTGAATAAGATCCACCAAACACAGTAGGATTCACATGCAGTGAGCTGGGCTGCAATATTCTCCCCAAGATATTCCATACATTTTCCTGAGGCTAAGAAACACCATTTATCTATCTCCACTTAATGTAAACATCCACATGGGAGAAATAATCTGGTTTGACACCGCTTTAACTGCCATGGCTCCTTGCTAGGGAATTCTGGGAATCAGTTTGCTGTGGCTCCAGAGCACTGTGGCGACAACTACAATTCCCAGAATTCCCTAGCATGGAGCCATGGCAGTTAAAGTGGTGTCAAACCAGATTATTTCTGCTGTGTGGATGCAGTCTGAACCTATTATTCTGACCTCCAATTAAAAACCCCTTGCAACATGGCCTCCCAAAGTCCCTGCACAATCCCCTTTTTGAATCCCAAGCATACAGTCTGCTAATATTTCCCTTCTTTGCCCACAAGGCTCACCCACAATGACCCTTGCAAAGGTGCGATCTTCAGCATTCTCTTCAGAATAGACCATGCTGACAAACGCCCGGTTGGCAGCTGGCTTTCCCACAGGAGCCCCATGGATCAAGTCCCGTAAGGTCTTCACTCTCAAATTACTGGTCTTCTCACCGAGCACAAAGCTGATAGCATCCATAAGGTTTGATTTGCCTGGTTGGAGACAGCAAAAAAGAGCATGATAGTTTAGCAGATGCTGTATGTCTCCCTGGCACTTTGGCCAGCAGCTACCTTCCGGAAGAGGGAACTTTTAATGGGTCAGTGCTGTAATTACCTTTTTACTGGTCTGGAAAGGGATCTTTTAGCACCCTTGAGAGGAAGTAGAGCAAATCATGAAAGCTTATGCTACAACTTCTTTCACACAGTTAGTGTCAAAGGTGCTACAGGATCCCTTTGCACACTTACCTTCAAGCTGTGATTTTTAATACTGTGAATCCAAATATGTTTAATATTACAATGTATTGAACTGTGTTTCAATATTATTACAGTGCTTTCCTCTGTATCTTCTCTCAGTTTCAGAACTTATAAAGTTACTTGAAAAATTATTTCATTGCATTACATGTTACATGAGACACCGGTGGAGAATCTCTCAGAGATAATGGTATTGGTACTATAGCTAATGCTTAATGTTAATAGTTAGCACTTCTTAGTACTGTGCAGAAGGCGGCAATGGTAAACCCTCTTGAATGTCTTACCATGAAAACCCTACAACAAGAAAATCCAAAATGAAACAAGAGATAGTGCCAGAAGATGTAGTTCCTTGGATGGAGGGCACTCATTGAGCTACTGGAGGAGAGCAGAGGACAACTACAAGCAGTGTTGTGGCTAATGACACAAGTGGATTCATGCCAAAAGGACATTCAGCTGTTGATGTGCATAGAAGCAAAAGGAAAGTCGGAAGCTGCACAACACATATTATAGGAACATGGAATGTGAGAAGCCTGGATCGAGGTAAGCTAGACATAGTAAAACAAGAAATGGAACTATCATATACTCATATATACATATATATATCATATACTTGTGTATACATCGACTTCATGTACACACCAAGGGCAGGTTTGGCAACCAAAATTATGGATTTCCATATGACCCATGAGTATGTCTAAGGCAGTGCTTCTC